CTATGGCTCTTTTTTCTTTGTTTCTGACAATATTTTCTCATGTCTCAATATTTTACTTAGTTTTTGGTAGACATATTTCTCTAATCGTCTGCGTCTTCCAATTTCTATCTTATTTTTTTCCCGTCAACTTTTACTATATTACTCAGTTTCTCTATCTGCTTGGTCTTGACTTTAACAAATCTGTAGCTTTCATTTTACAGGTGTTGCTATTCTATGCTATTTTTATCATCTGCCTTTTCAAGTAATGACATTAAGCTAGTAACTTTTGGCCATTTTGTATTTATCTTTATCTTTTTTCTGGCAGCCATTCGCTCAAATCCGCTTGCCTTCAATACAACGTGTTAAATTCTTCTAGTCTCCTTATTGTGTGTTCAACAAAATGACAACCCCCCCACATATATATATATATATATATATAAGCAAATATATGGATATAGATCCGACAGTATGAAGAAAAATATACTGAAAAAACAAACAAAAATCCTAATATGCGATTATGCTGTTTTAATGTTTAATGTCAACGTCGGACGTTTCGGTCTAATAGACCATCTTCAGAACATATTCATAAAAGATAATTAACATAGACCATATACAATTCAACATGAAAAAGACGATGGACATAAAAGCAATACTGGTATTGCTTTTATGTCTACCGTCGACGTTGACATTAAACATTAAAACAGGATAATCGCATATTAGGATTTTTGTTTGTTTTTTCAGTATCTTCATATATATATATATATATATATATATATATATGTGTGTGTGTGTGTGTGTGTGTGTGTGTATATTGAATACGACAGACAAGGTGCTTTGATTTAGTTTTTTATACAATACTCATGCAATCTAATAATTTGTTTCTTATCAGATGATCCATTATATAAAACTGTCCGAATGTTTTTTTATTCCGAGCGCTTTCGGCTATACATCTAGCAATTTAGAAATATTTTAACTGTTAAATAACTATATTTCTATTTCTTATTTAACAGTTAAAATATTTCATCATTGAAAATGGATAACGAAAATGGCGCCCGGCAGGGATAAAGGTGAATTTAACCGTATTTATTTTTTAGATAAACACACAATCAATGAGAGAACTCGATTCGATTTCCTGAAGAGTCTTGCATTATTAGCAGTAATAGTCATTGTTTACAAACCCACATTCCTCCCCAGAGAGCTCAAGCGAAATAATTTTTTAGGAGTATATACATATATATATATATATATATATATATATATATATATATATATATAATAAAAAAGGCATAGGTCTGATGAATTGGATCGTATTAACGATTCCAATGGAATAAATTATGACCATGGAATATTAGTGTTTAAGTCTTTTTATTATATTCTTACTCTGTCCTGAATATTGAGTTCTAACTGGATTCTATCCTCTTGGAATAATTTTTTATACATACATACATATATATATATATATATATATATATATATATATATATATATATATATATATGTACGTGTATGTATGTATATATATTTATATATTTTAGATATATGATTGCATATGTATGTGTATATTTACCACCAATGTTATCAATCAATCAATATATATATATATATATATATATATATAAAAGTGAACATAAAAGTCAACACTTAGAGCCTCTAAGTGTTGACTTCTATGTCCACTTTTATATTTACACACGCTCTATCTCTGATATCGAGCACTTTATCCCATAAATGTAGCAGACCTTAAGACTATATTTCTTCATATATATATATATATATATATATATATATATATATATTTAATTAATTGAAAAAATTCGGAGATCAGCCGATCCAGTTATCTTGGTGTCTTCAGGCGATCACAATTTTTTCTAACCTTACAATAATGATAGTAATATCTGCAATCTTTGCCAAGAAGAAAAGTTACAAATAACATTTCCACCCCAGAAACACTTCTGAATGAAACATTGGAAATAATGACATGATGCTTACGCGCAAAAAATCCTTTTGAGTTCGTTTGAAGCAGGATGAAAACACGTACATTTCATTCAACCCTCACTCCAGATCCAATTTCAATACCCTTGCTTTTCTCCCCGACCCTTCTATTACGTTTCGCATTGTGCGTTTATTTCTTTATTGTTCAATAATAAGGCATCAGGAAATTATTTAGCCTGGATCGGCTGAACATACTGAAAGATCGATACCAAGCTAGAATGATCAGTTGATCTCCTAATATTTTCAAATTTAAAAGCTCTGCATGTTAAATTTTTCTGAACTTTTCTTTTCTTTATACGTGTATTGAGCACCTTTTAATACTACTCTTTCCTTGCCTAATTTAATTCTGACCAAAACCTTATATATATATATATATATATATATAGAGAGAGAGAGAGAGATAGATAGATAGATACACGATATGGAATACGGAAACTAATGATAATAATTGTACTTCAATCGGGATATATGATAGATGGGTGGGTGCTTTTTTTTTTACTAAATATCCACCCAATAAAAGGCCAAAGAGCCACTCAAGTTAGAGGGTTAATGCATAAGCTTGTTGTAAGAGCACAAGAAGAGGAAGCAAGAAGTACCAATTCTGAAAATATCTTGAATAGATAACGGTTTACCTTAGACTTCAGGTAAAGATCTTAATGCTCTGAGTAAATGTGCAGAACACTGAAATGTTAGATTTTTGCGAGGATATTGACGAAGGTACTTGAGATCTGAAGGGAATCTCCATTGATATGCGTCAGATATCTAGTGAAGAATACTCAAATGATGATGAATGAATAACGAAGAATCCATCGCGTAGAAATGAAAGAGAAATTAAAATAATAATATTTTAAGCGAGTAAAGTCGATAAATAAAAATGAATTAAATGCACAAATTTGAAGTTGTTAACACATTAGCAATAAACGTTGCTAAAGAGTCCTTCATTGGAGATGATTAGAAAAATTGGAAAAGGTTTTAAACGACACGTTTCGCCGACATGACGTGTGTTGTGTTCGGATTCTTTTGGTCGGAATGAAAGAGAAAACTGTGTGTAAGGAAAATGTATTGGATTTTTTGTTGATAAGCCAGGCAATAAATTAGATTACCTTATCAGAACCGACGACAGATTTTTGTTTGCGGGGGTTTATACATTAGAGACGGTGGTATCTGTTGGATTTTAAATCAGCCGATTCCAAGGAGATCTTTGTTTTTTTCTCTATTAGCTCATATAAGGCTTGTTCTACTTGTTAGACATTTTCATGACGGTCGTCCTCGAGTATAGAATCCAGAGGTTGGCAGTGAATATTTCGGAGACAGTAGGAAAGCGTAGTTCTTCCGTCTGTCCTGTTCGCCGGGCAAGTTGCCTCTGGTCATTCCGCTAGGGAAACAAAGATGGCCGCCTTTATACACGACGGATACAATGTTCAGCGGCTTCTTATTGGTCAACCTTCTATTGGAAGGGAATTAAGTCATTTTGACTCGCTCACTAGTTACACAGTATATACACAAAAAACCGTAACATAGTTATTACAATGATTGGTGATAAAATCTATGGTCCTAGTCTTAACTTTATTGTGGAGAATTGTGAGATTAGCCCACTCTCAAGAATGTTCTTCATATTGAATACTTTTCTTTGCTGAGCAGACTGGCATTTATTAAGTCGAAATTGCTGTCAAATGTATAACAGCGAACCGCCAGTGGGTTTAAAATGTTGTTATGCAGCATATATCTACGATGCTCATATAGTCTTTTTACTGGATGTTTCGTCGATGTACACCATTGGGAGTGTAACTAACTGGATACAATAGATAAAAGGTCCAAATCGATAAGATACATTTACCTAGACCAGAGAGAAGTAGAAGTCTGTCTGAATTAGAATTCACAAGAGAATTAACCAATTATTTATTTTCTAAACGTTCATCTATTACTACGTACCACTGAAGTTAGACGGTCACTGAATGACGTTGTTTTATAGACAGAAGAAAACGAATTGCAATGATGAGGATATCTAGGCTGGATAACGCTTGACCCTAAACTTGAAAATGTTCATTTTATAGTGATCGGGATAACATCCTCCCAGAAGTCTGTTTTTTTTTTTTATTTATCATTTCACCCCAAGGAAGACAATGGCCTAGTAGTTCGTGCATTTGGTGACATAGTAATTATGAGTTCAATCCTTGGACCGGGTAGTGTGTATTTGGACAGTGGGATGAGAACAATCTATCTCCATAGATCAAATAAAGGGTTCAGTTCAGAATCTCCTGTAGGTTACCTAGATGGATATACACCTAAGAAAATCCAGATAGAAAAACGGCCGACAAAGTAGTGATAAAACAACAAAGATGAGGACAATAGTCTGAATATATATATATATATATATATATATATATATATATATATATATATATATATATATATATATATATATAAATAATGTTAAATCCTTATCTCAGAAATTCAGACATTTAAATTCCTGAAGGTCAAACTAGACTGGAAAGCAAGAAACCGGAAGAGAGTTGCACAAGAGACAAGTTCGAGAGAAGAAACTGTTAACATAGAACTTACGGTTATATCTAGCAGTTTCAACTATAACATGATGAGATGTAACTGCCAATCTAGTATTTTGTTTCATAGAGCGAAGCTTTCTTTTTATCAATGAAATGCGAAGAAAATGAAGGGATGATTTGACTGCGTATATAACATGGTGGGTCTTAGATGTGAAGGTCTGAACTGGTGAAACTAAGAAATGTAACGTGTAAGCATTTTATCAATGAAAGACCGATATTGTAGTAATAGGTTTCCACATTTCGACTGTAGGAAAGAGGTTGTATTGTGGAAAATAGTTTATCGCTTCAAGGGCCGCGTAAAGGCTTTGGAACTTTGTCAAGGCTGAAAAGACGAAAGGAAAGAAAAAAAAAAGAGGAAAAAGATGAAACGTTTGAAAAGAAAGGAAAGTACCAGAAAAAAAAAAGACAACGGCAAAAAAGAAAAAAAAAAAATAAATAAAGATAAAAGAAACGAAAAAATAAAGGAAGTTACAAATGCTTGAAAAACAAACGTTCATTTTGAACTAAAAAGCAAGCCCAAGGAGATAACAAAGGCGAGAAAAATATCAAAGGAAAAAAAAAATGAAAGTGTAAAGGAAAGAAAAAAGCTAAAAGAAAGACAAAAAGAAAGACGAAAAGAAAGAAGAAATGAATGAAGCAAAGACTATGAGATGATTTGACGAAACGAAAGAAAAACAAAAATAGAGGCGAAAGAAGAATAAAGAAATCGAAAGAAAGAGACATAAAGCTGAAAAGAAAGAAAAAGAATAAGAAAGAGAAATTAAAATGAATAAAAATAAAATGGAAGAAAGACAAGGAAAAAAAAAGACGTAAGAAGTGGAGCTAAAATGAAAAAGAAAACAATAAAAAAATTGATTTGATCATAAGAAAAAAAAAAAAAAATCGGCAATAAAAACGAAAGAATGAATTTACAGAACTCCGAGGAATAAGAAAATGCAATATAATGAAGCGGTAGAAAATAAATGGAAAGTTTCTAAAACCGGAAATGAAGAATTAAAAAATTAGAAGATAAAATCAAACAGGAAAATACAAAAAAGGCAATTTAAAAATGGAAAATAAATCAATAAAGGATGAAAATAAAAGAAAAAGGAAGGTGCGAGAAATGAAAAAAAAAATCGTAAAACGACAGGGTGAAGATTTTTAAAAGGTAAAAAGAAGAAGGCATTTAGGAAAAGAACAAGAAGAACGAAAAAAGAAAACCATGAAAGGAAAGAAAAAGAAAGAGAAAAAGTAGGAAAGCAATAGTCTAGAGGGAGAAAGAGATAAGAGAAAGACGGCACAGATTTGAAATGGTAAAAAAATATGAAAGCAACAAGAAGGATAAGAACAATACGGAAGAGAAAAAAAAAAAAATTGGAGGAGAGATAATAAAATTATAGGAAAAAAGAAAAGAAAATTAAAGGAAAAAACAATATTATAGATAGATAGATAGATAGATAGATAGATAGATAGATAGATAGATAGATAGGTGAGAGAGGGAGAGGGAGGGAGAGAGTGGGGTGAGTATGCGAAAGGAAACTCGGAAAATTTAAAAAGAAAGCAAAGAAAATGAAAATGGATAACATGGAGGATTGAGAAGAGAAAAACAGGCAAAAAGAAAAGGTGGCAAAAAATGGCGATCTATAGATAGATAAATAGATAGATAGATATGAACAAACTGTGATAGATAGATATGAACAAGATAAAACACAAATAGATCGACAGACACATGAATAGAATAAACAAGATAAAACAGATAGATAGATAGATAGATAGATACAAATAGATCGACAGACAACATAAGAACACAAATAAGACAGACACAGAATAGAATAAGAACAGAACAGAAAAAACAGATAGATAGATAGATAGATAGATAGATAGAGATAGATAGATATATGAACAAGATAAGACACAAATAGATCGAAGACACATGAATAGAATAAACATACTTAGATAGTTATGAACAGAATAAAACAGATAGATAGATAGATAGATATGAACAAGATAAGACACAAATAGATCGACAGAACATGAATAGAATAAGACATACTTAGATAGTTGTGAACAGAATAAAACAGATAGATAGATAGATTATGACACATGAATAGAATAAGAATAGTTAAACAGAATAAAACAGATAGATAGATAGATAGATAGATAGATAGATAGATAGATGAACAAGATAAGACACAAATAGATCGACAGACACATGAATAGAATAAGACATACTTAGATAGTTATGAACAGAATAAAACAGATAGATAGAATAAAACAAGATAAGACACAAATAGATCGACAGACACATGAATAGAATAAGACATACTTAGATGAATGAACAGAATAAAACAGATAGATAGATAGATAGATAGATAGATATGAACAAGATAAGACACAAATAGATCGACAGACACATGAATAGAATAAGACATACTTAGATAGTTATGAACAGAATAAAACAGATAGATAGATAGATAGATAGAAAACAAGATAAGACACAAATAGATCGACAGACACATGAATAGAATAAGATAGATGAACAGAATAAAACAGATAGATAGATAGATAGATAGATATGAACAAGATAAGACACAAATAGATCGACAGACACATGAATAGAATAAGACATACTTAGATAGTTATGAACAGAATAAAACAGATAGATAGATAGATAGATGATAGATGAATGAAAAGATAAGACACAAAAAGATCGACAGACACAAATAGAATAAGACATACTTAGATAGTTATGAACAGAATAAAACACATGAATAGAGATATGAACAAGATAAGACACAAATAAGACAGACACATGAATAGAATAAGACATACTTAGATAGTTATGAACAGAATAAAACAGATAGATAGATAGAAGAATAGATATGAACAAGAAACACAAATAGATCGACAGACACATGAATAGAATACTTAGATAGTTATGAACAGAATAAAATAGAGATAGATAGATAGATAGATAGAGATAGATAGATAGATAGATATGAACAAGATAAGACACAAATAGATCGACAGACACATGAATAGAATAAGACATACTTAGATAGTTATGAACAGAATAAAACAGATAGATAGATAGATAGATAGATAGATAGATAGATAGATAGATAGATATGAACAAGATAAGACACAAATAGATCGACAGACACATGAATAGAATAAGACATACTTAGATAGTTATGAACAGAATAAAACAGATAGATAGATAGATAGATAGATATGAACAAGATAAGACACAAATAGATCGACAGACACATGAATAGAATAAGACATACTTAGATAGTTATGAACAGAATAAAACAGATAGAGATAGATGAATAGATAGATAGATAGATAGATAGAGATATGAAGATAATAGACAAATGAACAAGATAAGAGACACAAATAGATCTGACAGACACATGAATAGAATAAGACATACTTAGATAGTTATGAACAGACACAAATAGAAAAACAGATAGATAGATAGATAGAATAAAACAGATAGAGATAGATAGATAGATATGAACAAGATAAGACACAAATAGATCGACAGACACATGAATAGAATAAGACATACTTAAATAGTTATGAACAGAATAAAACATGATAGATAGATAGATAGATAGATAGAATAAGAACACACAAATAGATCGACAGACACATGAACAGAATAAAAATTTTAGATAGATGAACAGAATAGATAGATAGATAGATAGATAGATAGATAGATAGATGATAGATATATGAACAAGATAAGACACAAAAGACGACAGACACATGAATAGAATAAGACACTTAGATAGTTATGAACAGAATAATAAGATAGATAGATAGATAGATAGATAGATAGATAGATAGAATAGATAAGATGAACAAGAACAGACAAATAAAACAGATAGAATATAGATATTATGATAACAGATAGAATAGATAGATAGATAGATAGATAGATAGATATGAACAAGATAAGACACAAATAGATCGACAGACACATGAATAGAATAAGACATACTTAGATAGTTATGAACAGAATAAAACAGATAGATAGATAGATAGATAGATAGATAGATAGATATGAACAAGATAAGACACAAATAGATCGACAGACACATGAATAGAATAAGACATACTTAGATAGTTATGAACAGAATAAAACAGATAGATAGATAGATGTAGATAGATGAATAGATAGATAGATGAAACAGAATAAAACAGATAGATAGATAGATAGATAGATAGATAGATAATATGAACAAGACACAAATAATCGACAGACACATGAATAGAATAAGACAACTTAGATAGTTATGAACAGAATAAAACAGATAGATAGATAGATAGATAGATAGATAGATAGATAGATATGAACAAGATAAGACACAAATAGATCGACAAACATGAATAGAATAAGACATACTTAGATAGATGAACAGAATAAAACAGAGATAGATAGATAGATAGATAGATAGAGATAGATATGAACAAGATAAGACACAAATAGATCGACAGACACATGAATAGAATAAGATATTGGAGAAGATAAAAAGGGAGAAGGTGATCATTCGAAAAGAAATAGAGATAGCATTTAAAAGAAGAAGAATTCGAAAAAGAAAGAAGAAGAAGAAGAAGAAGAAAAGAAGAAAGAAAGAAAGAAAGAAAGAAAGAAAGAAAGAAAGAAAGAAAAAAGGAAGTTTTAAAAACAAGTGCGCTGAAAATGTAGAAGTTACAAAATGTTAAAGATTTATTTCAAAGAATAGTGAAGAGAAAAAGGAAAAAAATAAAATGAACGCATAAGAAAGAGAGGAAAGAGAGAGGAAAACAGAAGAAGTGAAGAAGAAGAAAAAGACATAGATAGATAGATAGATAGATAGATAGATAGATAGATAGATAGATAATGAACATAATAAAACATGGATATGAACAGAATAAAACAGATAGATATGAACAGAATAAAACATAGATAGATAGACAGATAGATAGATAGAGAGATATGAACAGAATAAAACATAGATAGATATGCACAGAACAAAATATTATGACGTAAGAATGTCGTTTTTTAACGTGGAAAAGTACGTCAAAAAACGACATTATTACGTCATTATTTTTGCACCAACCTAATAGATCTATAGATAGATAGATAATGAACATAATAAAACATAGATATGAACAGAATAAAAGATAGATATAAACAGATAAACATAGATAGATAGATAGATAGATAGATAGATAGATAGATAGATATGAATAGAATAAAACACAGATGTGAACAGAATAAAATGGATCTATAGATAGATAATGAACATCATAAAGCATAGATATGAACAAAATAAAACATAGATAGATAGATAGATAGATAGATAGATAGATATGAACATAATAAAACATGGATATGAACAGAATAAAACAGATAGATATGAACAGAATAAAACATAGATAGATAGACAGAGATAGATAGAGAGATATGAACAGAATAAAACCTAGATAGATATGCACAGAACAAAATAGATCTATAGATAGATAGATAGATAGATAGATATGAATAGAATAAAACACATATATGAACAGAATAAAATAGATCTATAGATAGATAATGAACATAATAAAGCATAGATATGAACAAAATAAAACATAGATAGATAGATAGATAGATAGATAATGACCATAATAAAACATAGATATGAACAGAATAAACGATAGATATAAACAGATAAACATAGATAGATAGATAGATAGATAGATAGATAGATAGATAGATAGAAAGATAGATAGATATGAATAGAATAAAACATAGATATGAACAGAATAAACGATAGATATAAACAGATAAACATACATAGATAGATAGATAGATAGATAGATAGATATGAATAGAATAAAACATAGATATGAACAGAATAAAATAGATCTATAGATAGATAGATAATGAACATAATAAAGCATAGATATGAACAAAATAAAACATAGATAGATAGATATGAACAGAATAACACAGATCTAGAAGAAGAAGAAGAAGAAGAAGAAGAAGAACAACAACAACAACAACAACAACAACTCGGGATTTTCTGAGAAGAAGCGAATATCATTAAGTTAAATGGAGAAGATAACCCACACTAGATCTGATGCGAATAACGTTTGAGAGAAATAATTCCTAACAACGATTCCATAATTAAAACACCTGTATCTATTACAGTACCAACTTGTCGTCATTAACACTACGATTGACAACCATCTTCCTAAGGTTAAAGAATTTTTATTTCATCTATTCCTTGACTAATTCTGAAAAGTAAACGGTAACAGCCTGTAGGCATCCAATTAGAACGATGCTTTCGCAATCCGCTCGACTATTTTTTCTTCTTCTTCGTGATGTTGACAAGACGGGCGGTTCTGGATATCTCATAATCTTAGGACCAAAAAGAAGATTCCGGTTTTCTTTCTTCTTTTTTCAATTATTTAATTAGAATAAAATATATAACACGTGCTATATGTGTACGATTTAAATGTTTGCAACATCTTCTAATGAGCAAGATTAGAGAAATCAATTTCACTACCGTTTACCGGGCAGAGCAGACAGTCCTGGAGGAAGACCTGAGAAACCCCTTTTCGCCTTCAATCAACATGGCTGATACTAACCTCTAGGTGAGTGACTCGTTGTGACTTCTCGGCTAACACTTTCGGCTGACATATAGCATTAATATTTTTTATAAAAATCAGTTGAACGAAAATTACAGACAAGACGAAACTAGAATTAAGAATGCTATAAAAATGCACAACACCAATTGACAATATAAAAAAAACAGATTAATTATTTGTTACAAAAAATTTAAAATCCCTAACCTTACAGTAAAAAATAATAATTCACCTCTTAGAACAAAATTAAATAGGACAAATATTGTTTACGAATTTAAATGTCCATTAAAGAATTGTATTCCTGATCAATCAAAATTCGTAAATAATTTTATAGGCCACACTACAACATGTTTGATACGAAGACTCACGCGACACCTTTCTGACCATAGCTCAATTAGATCTCATTTAAATATTCATGGAGACTTACCGGACACTATTCGTAACATACTTGTTGACAACACAAATATAATAACATCATCGACCTGCAAACAAAAAAAAAAATGTAAAAATATTAGAAGCCTTATTAATAATAAAAAAAACAACACTTAATAATATCAACAATGAACATGGACATAATATCTTGACCATGTTTTGAAAATGAAAACATTATATAAATACATGCATATAAGAATCTATTTCTTGTTAAAAGTTAACATATTTCAACTTTGAAAATGGCTAAATTTATAGCCGAAAGCGCTCGGAAAGAAAGAACAATTGGACAGTTTTTATATAATTTGTATACCGAAAAGAAAGAAATTATAAGATCACATGAGAAACTGTATGAAAAACTAAATCAACGCACCTTGTCTGTCGTATTCAATGAAAAGCGTATGAATGAAAGATTACTGTTTAAATACACACCCATATATATATATATATATATATATATATATATATATATATATATATATATATGAATCCATCCAGCTCTTATCTTAAATAATAACTCAAAAGAGACTGTTTGACCAACACAAGGACAGACCAAAATCCATGTTAAAAAACAAAAAAAACAAAAAAAACAAATGAAAACTACAGACAAAAGTTCATTTTCTCCATCAAGGCATTCATTTCTGTAGTTCACTGCTACCAGCAAGCAGAAAATTATTTTTCTCCTGATGATGGCTATGTTGGTCGAAACTAGTCGAGGAATCTAAATGAAATAATGATATAAACGAAGGAATATTAATATACAACCCAGTGTGTCTGAAGATTTTAATTTTTTATAAATTTTATTGTTCAATATATATATATATATATATATATATATATATATATATATATATATATGTGTGTGTGTGTGTGTGTGTATAAATAAAAAGAAGGAACAGTAAGATATATAACCTGGTGTTGTTACAGAAATTTTATTTTCAGAAAATAGTGCTCAATGTAAATTTACAGAGCATTAATACTAATTACAAAATTTGCTTGAGAATGAAATGGAACTAATGTCTTTAATTTAATTACAAAATTAAATTCGAAGCTTTTAGCTTCCATTTTTGAAACATGGTTAGAACTGTGTAGCGAAAAAAACATATTCTAAATCAGTTAATTAATATATATATATATATATATATATATATATATATATATATATATAATATAAAAAGACTTAAACACTAATATTCCATAGTGTTTAAGCCTTTTTGTTATATCCTTACTCTGTCCTGGACATTGAGTTCTACCTGGATTCTTCCTCTTGGAATTTTTATTCAAAAAATATACATATATGGCTATTTATATATTTTGCATATGTACGTATATTTACCACTAATATTATCTATCTATCTATCTATCTATCTATATATATATATATATGTGTGTGTGTGTGTGTGTGTGTGTGTGTGTACGCGCGCATTATCCCGCGTCGTAAATGTGATAAAATTTATATTGGCGAAACAGCAATATTTTTATAAAAAAATGCTTACGAACGCGAAAGTGTTATGCTAATTACTAGAAAATAGAGACCACGCATAAATTTAAAAAAAAATTGTTGAATTTATTCATCAGACATCATCTAGAAAATAACATCTTGATTCAATTGAGTTAATCAAAAATGAGTTTTTATAACATCACCTTTTCCGCCTAAGATAATACCCAAAGAAAATAATAATAAAAATAGGGACCCTTGAAAGATCGTAATAAAATGTTATTAACGTTTGTCTTAATTTAGTTCTTTTTCCTTTACCACCTCAATAATAATATAGTAATTTAAAATTTGAATCATATCTATTCTTTATTTGCTTTAGATTTACCTTTCTTACGATAACTCTCTTATTTTTCGACATCCAATCATGTTTTATATTTATTTTAACATTTTCCTTGATTTGTTCAAATATATTTATTTTACTCACAAGTGTTTATTTTTAACTGTATTAAGAGTTAAATTTTCAAAGAAATGGAAATTAACGGTGTTTCTAAGTAACAAGGTTACCATGTTAACGAGTTTTGTTTAATTTTTTTCACTTGCCCTGAGGATGTTCTTACTGAACGAAACGTTGACAACGGAATAAAAAATGAATATATGTATAAAAGACATGTTCAAACCGACTTATCTTCCGACTCTCGCAGATAAATCTGTTGGACGTATTTTGTTAGGCGTCAATGATCTCCCTCTGTCTCTCCCTCTCTCTCTCTCTCTCTTTATATATATATATATATATATATATACGTGTGTGTGTGTGTGAAAAATATATAGAAAATAGGAAAGAACTCGTTAGGTGAATAATCCAAATTTCTTTGATATTTTTGTTATTATTTTTAAAAAATAGTGTTCGATACAAAAGTAGAGCATAAATATAATTATTTATTTAAAAATATGATTCCAACACGCTACATAAGAGTTCTCATGTTTCAAAACAAGAGCCGAAAACTTTAATATAATTATTTGAATTAAGTTGAATTAAAGTACTAAGCTCTGTTTCATCTTCAAGCGAAACTTTTTTGGAATTGTTCCAATTTCGCTTGAAGATGGAACAGAGCTTAGTACTTTAATTCAATTTAATTCAAATAATTATATTGCAATTTTTGTTTTGAAACATGAGAACTCTTATGTAGAGTGTTGGAATCATATTTTAAATAAATAATTATATATATATATATATATATATATATATATATATATATATATATATATATAATGTCATCCACAGGCAGACTGTGTCGCTATATCACAGCTCTTCAGTGTGGCTAGACGTCCGGTTCGTCAAGCCGGGATCGATTCCCGACCGATTTGGCATCAGAGATCCTACCCTAGGCTATATATATATATATATATATATATATATATATATATATATATATATATATATATATATATATATAACCTCGGCGTTCACTTATATATATATAAGTGGACACCGGGGTTAACTTAAAATGGCGACAGTCAGTTTCATGCTTGAACACAATCTTTACTCTTGAAAGATGAAACAGACTGTCGCCACTCGGTGTTGACTTCAATGTCCACTTTTATATTTACATACGCTCTATCCCTGATATTGAGCACTTTTACCCATAAATATAGCCTACATTAAAACTATATATATATATATATAGGCAGATGATTTGAAGATGAATATGCTTTTGTTCTCATGGTGTTTCCCCCACAGTTCTACCTTTTAATGCTACTAAAATATCTAGCATTCCATTTCTTACCATATAAGGCTACCTGCACAAAGCTTGGAAATGCTGACAGCCACGAGATTGCTTTTAACCCTGTCATTAAACCTGCACAGTGGCATAACTATATTTCTTTATATATAAATATATATCTATACTACTCAAGCGTTATGTTTTATTCGCTACATGTGTTTTATTAGATGCCCAGTTTTTTAGGTGTGAATTGCATCTACCATCCTGTGCATTCTAGAGTTTTAATCGAGAAAAAAACTCCTGAATATTATTACCTTTATTAAGATTTTAGAATGTACAGGCCTTTAGATGTATTTGACAATCTTTTAAAAAAATATATGTATATATATGGCGTCTACTCAAATACGAGTAAGCCCTAAAATATAATCTTTAAAGTAATAATAATAATAATAACACACACACACACACACACACACACACACACACACACACACACACACATATATATATATATATATATATATATATATATATATATATATATATATATATATATATATATGAATTATTCACACAAAAACTAATGCAAAGGTTAATGATTTAAATGGCGAGACATCCGTCATCGCAAACAATTCAAATAATATACAAAAACCTCCGAATCCGTTATGAATGAAATGACCCTTGTTTATATAAATTTCTGACGTATTAGTTCTTATTTTTACTACAAGTTGTCGTCTGTTCCTACAGACATCTTCAGGTATAGAATAGATGTTGTTCTTGTTTTTTTTCTCTTACTAATAAGAGGACAACGAAAATATATGTATTGTTGTATCCGAAAATGCTATTGAAAATGAGTTATTGGTTTTGGAACGCGCAGAAGCAACGCTGAGTTTGATTTTGAATTTTTAAATCATTAACCTTTGCATTAGTTTTTGTGTGAATAATTCATGAATTTGTAAATTGATTGCACGTTTATCGTAATTTAAATAACTGATCCAAGTGCGACTTTTGGATAATAAGTGCGACATTACTGTAATTATTGAACAATGTAGTTCATGCCACTTTGACAGAAAAATTTACCAGTAAAAAATTTGTTCATCACCATATTTTATATGAACGCACAACCTTTAAAAATTTAAAATCAAACTCAGCGTTGCTTCTGCGCGTTCCAAAAACAATAACTCATTTTCAATAGCATTTTCGGATACAACAATACATATATTTTCGTTGTCCTCTTATTACTAAGAGAAAAAACAAGAACAACATATATTCTATACCTGAAGATGTCTGTAGGAACAGACGAAAGCTTGTAGTAAAAATAAGAACTAATACGGCAGAAATTTATATAAACAAGGATCATTTCATTCATAACGGATTCGGAGGTTTTTGTATATTATTTGAATTGTTTGCGATGATGGATGTCTCGCCATTTAAATCATTAACCTTTGCATTAGTTTTTGTGTGAATAATTCATGTATTTGTAAATTGATTGCACGTTTATCGTAATATATATATATATATATATATATATATATATACCGTGTGTAACAGTAAAATTGTACAAATCTTGTAACACCAAAGTTATTCAATTGTAATTGTTAGGTTAAGCGTTGAACCGTTGTATCTTAGTAATGATTAAAGATATTTTATTGGAATTCTCCAACATTTTTATAACACGACTGGATTCTGCTTTGAACAATACGAATGTATTTAGTTCTAAGTTGAAATGTTGATCCTCTTGATTCAGTTTTCTTCTCTACTTAAACTTATTCACCATTCTCTTGATGGTTCTTGAGTGGACTTTGAAGAGGGAAGCCAGAGTATAAATTTTGATTCCATTACTGAAGGCCTGAATGATCTTTTTCCTCTCACCATTGCTCAGTTGGAATGGCATAGTGGGGCTGACACAAAACGATTTTAACCTAATCTCTTTCTAGCTGAATAACTCAATCTGTTTTTCAGTGATTCTTACGACAAAGTGTGTCAAGATGGCTAAACGTCTTATCTGAAGACCTGAAAAAAAAAGAAAAAAAAAAAGAAACCTAATTAGTTTAGCGTTTTTTTTTTTTTTTTTTTTTTTAGATATTAAACACTTTTTGGAGGGACAATTATCGCATGCTCCTACACGATTTGGACAATTTTGCTGTTACACTCGGTATATATATATATATATATATATATATATATATATATATATATATTCATAAACAAAATGACCGTTGAACTACTGAAAGAGGAGAAGAATCAGAGAACGAATGTGAGAGAGAAAGACAGGGACAGAAAAAAATTAAAGGAGACGTTAGAAAAGATTGGGATCAAATATAGTGATTCAAAGATGAAGAGAAATGGAATGAGAGAGAGAGAAGGAGAGAGAGAAGGAGAGGGAGAAGAAGAGGTAGAGGAGAGAGAAGGTGAGAGAGAAGGAGAGAGAAGGAGAAAGAAGAAGAGAGAGAAGGAGAAAGAAGGAGAGAGAGAAGGAGAGACGGACGGAGAGAGAGGAGAGAGAGAGAGAGAAGAAGAGAGAGAGGAGAGAGAAGGAGAGAGAAGGAGAGAGAAGGAGAGAGAAGAAGAGAGAGAGAAGGAGAGAGGGGAGGAGAGAGAAGGAGAGAGAAGAAGAGAGAGAAGGAGAGAGAGAAGAAGAGAGAGAGAGAGGCGAGAGAAGGAGAGAGAGAAGGAGAGAGAAGAGAGAGAGAATGAGAGAGAGAAGGAGAGAGGGAGGAGAGAGAAGGAGAGAGAGAAGGAGAGAGAAGGAGAGAGAAGGAGAGAGAGAAGAGAGAAGAAGAGAGAGAAGGAGAGAGAGAAGGAGAGAGGGAGGAGAGAGAAGGAGAGAGAGAGGCGAGAGAAGGAGAGAGAGAAGGAGAGAAAAGAAGAGAGAGAATGAGAGAGAGAAGGAGAGAGAAAGAGAGAGAGAGAAGGAGAGAGCATGAGAGAGAGAGAGAGAGGAGAGAAGGAAAGAGAAGGAGAGAGAGGGAGAAGGAGAGAGAAACACACACAAAGAGAGTAAAGCACTGCCAAAAGGAAATGAGTTTGGGGGAGCGAAATGGTAACAAAAGTTAAAAAAGCTTAAATAAATAGAGAAAAATAGAGAAAGACAGAAAGATAGAAAGGAATACGAAAGAATGAAAAAGGTGTGTGAGAGACGGAAAAGAGAGAAAGGGTGTATGTGTCTGTGTGCGTTTCAGTGTCGTTAGAAGAGCAACATGATTCCTTTTACACGTTTCTCTCTCATGGGAAAATGCATGCACACACACACACACAAGCACCTGATAACACTTGAGATTTAGCCATGCATTGAATGTCTTATAAACAGGTGCATATGTTTGCCCCCATCTCCGCCCTGTCACAGATCTGCAAAGATAAATGTGTTTGTACACACGCATTGCTGAATCAGGACAACACGCACAATAACGCAGCACAACTATTATTCTGCCGGGCCGGTTAGTAGAAACCAAATCTCGATGGAAACATGGCGAGCATTAATTAAGCAATATTAAAATATGAGATATCCCCAGAGAATGGACAACGGAGTGGGAACACTCTAGCTCCACAGATTAAATGAAGGGTTCAGTTCCCTAAAATTCCATGAATGTATCCCGGAAGGAGACCCCTGGACACAACAATAACAACAAAAAGATGAGGAGATTAATTCAACTGAATATAATAATTCTATTTCGTTTCTTACATACATACACTGATTGATTGATTCGTTTTCTAAGGCTTATCAACCCTTTGCTGGTTATTTAAAGCCAGAGAATATTTTTAGATTCTAAGAATTTTTTTTTGGGGGGGGGACAATAATGATTACTAATTTGCTAGCGGCTGGGTAACAGTGGATTCATAACTTTCCCAAGGGTATTTACACGTAAGTGAATATCACGAACCCAAATGGAACTGAAACTTAGCCTTCCGATTAACAATTCTGATTCATTATCCATTACACCATCCGCACATCCAAGTTTACCGCAGCTGGTATTCTCAAGCGATCACCTATCTGGGTTCGACGTTGTTTAACTTCGATGATCATGTGAGAAGCGGTGTGTTAAGCTGATGTCGTCGGAAGCTTACATACATGCAAACACATATACAGGATGTCTATAAAGTCCGTGTGCAATTTAAAATACTTGTAGCTTTGTAACTATACATGAGAAAAACGAACCGTAAAAAGTATGAGAAAGAAGTATTTAAATATATTACTGAGGTTTGCTTGTTTTCAACATATCCGCTATCATGACGCGTACAAAGGGTAATACGATTCTGTAGTTCTCAGAAGACATTTTGCAGCTGATTTTCAGTAGCACGTTCAATGACAAGGATTATGCTTGCATGCAATTCCGCCAAAGATCGTTGTCTAGTTGAATAAATATTACTTTGCACATGTCCTCATGAAAAGAAATAAAAACAGCAATTCCGAAAAAAAATATGTCATTTTGAAGTTTCAAGAACAAAAAAAAAACAAACAGATGAAACAAATAATACATATTTCGATGGAAAGAAAAAAAAATCCTTTTTACACATTGTTTTTATCATGCATAGTTCCAAAGCTACAAGTATTTTAAATTGCACACGAACTTTATGAACACTCTGTGTAGTTACTTTTAAATGTTTCTTTTTAATCTTCCATTATTTCTTATTACAATAACAATAAACGTTATATTCAGCGGGTAGATATATCCCATTTGTTTTTGCTAACGGTGAAATTAATGTCTAATGGCCTAGAAGTCATAAACAACAAAATGTTGCTCCGAACGAAACTCGAACTCTTGTTCTTTTTTTTCTTTTTTTAAATCTGAGTAACAACGTAATTAAGAAGCTCCACACAGACCAGCTATCACCGAGTTCGAAGCATTGACGTACTCGTAATAGCATTGACGTAAATACATCCGGGTAGCTACCAAGCTGAACCGAATAAAACCCAAACCTAATGCACAGCCATTTTTTTCTTAAAACAACCAGACGTGTACCGCTTCCACTGCTGGGTAAATTTTTAAAAAATAACTGATCCTCATGGAGCGTATTAGAGTAATCAAAAGTATAGAGGAAGCCACTGAATGGTCTGCAAGTATAGTGGCGGTTACAAAGAAATCAGGGGATTCTCGTATTTCCGTCGATTTTGCCCAACTGAACAAGCCAGTGTGTAGGGAAAAATACATCCTGTCATCAGTCGAGTAAACGCTTGGTTTATTAGCCGGCGATATTCAATAAACTCGATGCTAATATGGGTTTCAGGCAAATCCCGTTAACAGAGGAGTCAGATAAACTGACCATCTTCATTTCTCCATTTGATTAATTTTTTTTCAAGAGATTGCCTCTTGGGATAGAATCAGCACTGGAACATTTTCAGAATAGGATGTCGACCAAAATTACAGATGGCTTAGATCGGAGGGGTTGTCTGCCATATTGATGATGTTTAGATATGGGGACACACATGATTACTGATTTCATGAAGTCGTGCCTCAGTTGGAAAAGGCTGGTATACCTCTAAACCTGGACAAGTGTGAGTTCTCTAAAAGAGAAGTTAAGTTTCTAGCTCGCATTATATCTGATGAAAGAATCAGAGCGGATCCATGCAAAACTGCAGCTGTTAGGGAGATGCAAGAATCTACCAACGTAAGCGAATTATTCAGTCTTTGGGGGATGGTAAAAAAGCCAAGTGTTATGGGATCTTACCCATAATAATAATAATAGACTAATCCATACTTAATAAATACGTGACTCAGGAGTAGGCGAGGGGTCAGTCAGTTGTTCACTTGCTGACCGACTGCTCGGTTGAACTCTCTGCCTTCGGGCGGAGAGGAACCCGAACGAGGCTACGCCGAAGGGCGGAGTCTCCTTCGGGGAGGTAAACCGGCCCTGAGCCCGTTCATGCGGGTTCAATGGACATATTTTTGGGTCGAGCACACTGGCTCAGAAATCCCACGTTAAAAACAGCCTTGTGCCACATGACACCCCAGTGGGGCGGTGACTGAATATTGTCAGTCAGTCGTTCACTTTCTGACCGAATGTTCGGTTGAACTCTCTGACTTCGGTGGGAGAGGAACCCGAAACGAGGCTACGCCGAGGGGCGGTGTATCGTTCGGGAAGTTAAACCGGCCCTGAGCCCGTTTATACGGGTTCAATGGACATATTTTTGGGTCGAGCACACTGGCTCAGAAATCCCACGTTAAAAACAGCCTTGTGTCACATGACACCCCAGTGGGGCGGTGACTGAATATTGTCAGTCAGTCGTTCACTTTCTGACCGAATGTTCGGTTGAACTCTCTGCCTTCGGGCGGAGAGGAACCCGAACGAGGCTCCGCCGATGGGGCGGAGTCTCGTTCGGGAAGTTAAACCGGCCCTGAGCCCGTTTATACGGGTTCAATGGGCATGTTTTGGGGCCGAGTCCACGGGCTCGGAGAACCCACAATAAATAACCGACCTTGTGGCACATGATGCCCCAATTCGGGGGGGGGTGACTGAATATCGTCAGTCAGTCGTTCAAGTCTTGACCGGCTGTTCGTTTGAACTCTCTGCCTTCAGGCGGGGAGGAACCCGAAGGAGGCTACGCCGAAGGTTAGATTCTCCTCCGGGAAGGAAAACCGGGTCAGAGGCAGTCCGAAACAGAGTCACGTTCAGACAAATACTGCAAGACATTGGAATAGTGATACTGGTCGAGACTTATACTTCTCTGTATATATTCCTGTTTGTAATATATCTGTGTTATTTCATACCTGTGTTCGAGTTCTTTATTGGTTCTACCTTGGACTATCGCCGTGGTACAAGGAACCGGACCATAACACCAAGCTAGTCAAATTAATTCCTCAACTGGCGGAAAAGGATAAACCCTTGAGAGGTCTGCTTTGAAAATGAAGCACCTGCTTTAACTTGGGCATGTGAAAGATTCCGAGATTACATCACCGGACAACATTTTCTGGTTGAAACAGACCAAAAACCATTACTGGGCCTCCGGGAGTTCAAACTTTGGAGTTCTTACCCTTGAGAATACAACGTTTCAGGTTAAGGGTGGGACCGAGATGCCAATCTAGTAGCACGCTTAAATTCATGCATGTGAGGCGCCAGTGAATATAGCTCGTCAGAGCAGTTGCCATGAAAATATTTGTAGAAAAGACAGAGGGAAGCCACACCACGTTTGTGAGAAAGTGACTGAAGTCGAGATACCGGGTCATTCAATACCGTTGCCATATATGGTCTGGAGCTCCCGCTGTACATCTTAATGTTCTCGACAAAATCCAAAGTGAAAGCTCAGAGTCACTTTCTCACAGACGTGATGTGGCTTCCTTCTGTCTTTTCTACAAATATTTTCATGGCAACTGCTCTGACGAGCTATATTCACTGGTGCCTCGACTGCATGAATTTAAGCGTGCTACTAGTTTGGCATCTCGGTCCCAAACTTTTACTGTCGAAACAGCTGAATGTAACCACCTCTTCTACTCCAACAGCTTTTTCTATTGCGCTTCCCAACAGTTGAACTTCCTTCCTCTTACTTGCTTCCCTGATAACTATAATCTTCAAAAATTTAAATGTAATGTTAATCGACATCTCCTGATGACTTGATCTTGATCCCCGTCCTTCTGTTCCTCCTTTCCATAAATACCCATCTTTACTCTTTTTTTTTCACTCTCTGTAACCCCTTGCTTACTAGTGATACTCCCACTTGGGGTGAAATGCTTAAAAATATACTTTCGTACATAAATCCGTATTTCAGTTATTTTTTTTTATCCACGCATGAAAGTAACTGCACGACACGATTCGGCCAATTAAAAAAAAAGAGCCACGGGCCCACTTTCACATGGATCATTCTCATGTTAAAGACATGGAAAAATTTTAATTTTGGTTGACTCATTCTGTCGATGACCTGAAATGGGTAGAGACCAGGACAAAAAGGCAGCCACGGTAAAGCAGTTTCCAGAAATAGGGTGCCAAAAACTGACAATGCATCAGAATTTTCGGATGAAACATTGTATTCGTGGTTAGAACAAATTGGATGCCATTATACCATCTGCAATCAAGTGGAATTGCAGAAAGATTTGTGCAGATGGTGAAAATCTGGTTGAAATGCATTTTCCCTATTCAGAGACACCATATAATATGTAAGCATACAGCGACTATTACTGAGTTATAGATCTATTCCACATGCCGTTATAATGCAAAGTCCTTCTTCATTGATAGCAAGGCAAATTAGATCGCTTATAACAATGTATTATTTATGGTGTAATTCTATTACTATGGGGAAAGCGGAACAATCTGAACTAGAAAGGGTCTGGACTCTTCGAGAATGGCGGTACGTTGAGAGGGAAATAGGTACGGAAAATGCTGTGGGCCTATCGATGTAAACCGCGAAATAAATTTCCTTTCTTACATAAGTCCGTACTTCCTGTTATTCTTTATCTACACGACAACTACCAGACATGAATAAAAATACCTTCTACATGCACAAATGCACACACATTAAATAAATAATAGTTATTAGATTAAATTGGGTAAAACGAATTTGTACCTTCCATCTCTAGTGTTATTAAAAGACAATGCCTAATCGTCTTTAATTATAACTGATTTAATAAAAGAAGCAGACAAAACATATTAAAATGAATACAGTAGTCTCAGTCTCCCAAATCTAGTTCTCTACACATTAACCTTCCTTCTCAAGTCTGATACAGTAAAACCTCGAATTAACAGTCCCGGAAACAACGGACTCCGGAATTATATTTAAAACTTTTCAAACACATACATATATATTGCATTTACATTTATTTATAATAAATTTGTATTGTACTCTTCAACTGAATTGAGCTCTCCGGGACACTAGTGTATTTCTGATAGAAAACGTTAAAATTTACCTTTTGTCTCTGTCGTGCGACGATAGCCTAGGGTTAGGATCTCTGATTAATTCCCTAACCTGGGTATGACAATAAACTACATCCGCGTCCTGGGTAAGACAATAAAAATACACCCAACAGCAAGCCTCTGATCAGGTGGTTTTGAGGAGCGTGGAACCACCCCTTAATTGCTGGTGTTGACCTGGGGTGGTAACACCAGTTAGGGTCCCAGTCATGGGTAAATAGTTAACCCCCAAACTGGAGTCAAAACACTGTGAAAGTTTAAAAATAGGTTTTAATACCAGAAATACTTTGTAAAAAAAAATTAACTGCAATATATTAAAAAAAAAAAAAAATTAGCAGCAATACATTGTTGAAAAAACAAAAATTATTACCAGCAATAAAAATATTGTTGGCATTAAATAACGCATTGAGGTTGATATGCCGTTAAACAAAACAAACCAAACGAGACTGACTAATGCCAAATTAGTCGGATTTCGATCTCGGCTTGAATTGAAGCAATCGGACGTCTAGCCACACTGAAGAGCTGTGATGCAGCGAAACAGTCAAACAGTGACAATATATATATATATATATATATATATATATATATATATATATATATATATATATTAAAGACATTTTTATTTATGTTTAACGTTGTTATTTTATAGATACAAGTATTTAAGCAAATGCTCTGTTTAAGATAAACAGTATTAAATAACATTTACCGGCCTGAATGTCCGAGAAATTTTCATAGAAAATATTCGTTCATAGACAGGATTCGAACCTGCATCCTATACGGAACCGTCATATACGCTGACATGCCTTACCACTCGGCCACCATGAACCTTATGGTAGACAAGGTCGAATTTACTGTTATAAACTACAATCTTCCATGAATCTCGTACATTCATAACTGCTCTGGCGTATCGAATGTAAACAAATGACGTCATATGTTAAGAAATGGAGAAAGGTCCGACAATTTATTTATTAAAGACATTTTTTATTTATGTTTAACGTTGTTATTTTATAGATACAAGTATTTAAGCAAATGCTAAATTTAAGATAAACAGTATTAAATAACATTTACCGGCCTGAATGTAGAGAAATTTTCATAGAAAATATTCGTTCATAGACAGGATTCGAACCTGCATCGTATACGGAACCGTCATATACGTTGATGAAAATTTCTGACCACTCGGACACCATGAACCTTATGGTAAACAAGTTTATAATTTTAGTTTATAATGTTTATCTTAAACAGAGCATTTGCTTAAATACTTGTATCTATAAAATAACAACGTTAAACATAAAAAAAAATGTCTTTAATAAATAAATTGTCGGACCTTGTCCATTTCTTAACATATATATATATATATAAAGAGAGAGAGCAATAGATAGATATTATAAAAGCTAAGCTAATCAAAAATAGTGTAAAAAAGCTTAAAATATGAAACAAAGCAAGAGTTCAATGCCACTTACCGGAGCCTAATGATAAAATGTATTTTAGCAAAATGTGTTGTTTGTCAAATACTTTTTTCATCACAAGCAAGGCGATAATGCCACTAAGACGCAAGTGG